GTTTTATTGACCCCTTTGATTTTTACAGAGACTAATCCAACAGAAAGCCAAGGTGGCTGCTCCAGCTTGACCAAGCAGCCTGATGCAGCACATTGCCATTGCTGCTGGGACATAGAGACCTCTCTGTGGTCTGGGCAATGTTTTTTCACAGTCAAGATGTGTACAGGAGATAACTACTGGTCTACTTGGCTCTCTTCTCTAGTTTCCCTTGGGAAGGGTGAAGCGTGTTATGCAGGAGCAGTGGTGATAACCACTCCCGACAGGCACATGTGTTCCTTGTGTGGTTTAGTACATTTATTGCAGTTACTGCCCTGACAGAAGCTCAAAGTGCGGCAACTTGCACCCCACAAGTCAGTAGTGAGGAACAAGGAGGTGCCTGTCAGCATCCCACCTGCCTCAGGCTTAGTTCAGCTCTGCCAGCCCTCCTGTAGACAGCCCCGTGGGCTTCTCCAGCCTGTTAGCTGCAGAGCTGCACCTCTGTTTGCAAAGACCTTCTAGTTCTGCCTGGACACGATGGTCTCATCAGAAGGACCAGCAGTGTCACCAAGCAGTGCCGCAATATGCACCATGGGGAGTTGGCCCAAAATCCCCCAAGGAGGTTTGCCTGTTGGACAGTTTTTTTATTTTTATTTTTTGCTTTCATGATCGTCAAAATAACTAAGTGGATTGCTGGATGTTCAACTCCTCCAAGATTTTCATAATATGAAATGAAAAGGAATAAAATAAAGCGTATAAAAGAAGTCGAATTCAACAGGGACTATCATAATGACCTGGAACAATAGACAGAAGAAAGTGAGTCTTGTTTAATGATTGTTTACAGTGACAGCCCAAATTTTAATCAATTAACATATGAGCCCGTTACTTGAAAAATGCGATGGGCCTGTGGGACAGCATTCAGTATTTCTCCCTTTCTCAGGGGAGCTGCAGGGTATCGGCTGACATCTCGGAAGCACTTCTTCCTCACAGATGCTTTTAAAGCTGCTTTTCTGCCTGCAGAAGGCACAGTTAAGCCTTACACATGTATTTTGTGTAGGCTCTTGTGTACAGTTTCATCCTGTGACCCCCTAGGAGACCTCATTGACCTTCTCACAGCTTCTTGAGCCTGAGGAAAGCTCAGTCAGCTTTTATATTGCCAAGCTTTCTTCAGCGCTACACCTAGGAACACAGAAACCAAATAGATTTATTGATAGAACTGTAATCAGAAGTCATAACCAGGATGACAAAATGTTCAAGTGATCAAATTACTTAAAATTAGAGGCGTAATGAACTGCCTCAGGAGCTGGGAAGCTGCAGGCAGGCATCTGGCTTGCCGACCAGCCACATGGCAGCGGGATGTGTGTGCTGTCAGCCCTGGTACAGCCAATGGCTAAAAGAGATGAGGCTGCTCCAATTTTGTCACTTGTGAAAGAACGAGAAGGTGACGGGGCAGAGGCTGGACATGGCCAGGTTGCAGGCTGAGTGTGAGAGGGGAAGTGCCAGTGCTGGGTGCTAGCTGGGAGCAGGATGGGATTTCCTGGGCTGAGAATTGTTGGGGCAGGTCTCTCTTTGGGTAGGAGATTCCTGCGTCCCACAGGATTTGAAGTCTTGAACACCATTAGGACTCTCACCTAATGTACGCCCTGGGAGCCAAGCGGGGATGTCAGAGTTTGGTTCTGCTTGTTTATCAGGAGACAGTCCCACTTCTGCATTTTATAATGCTTTAAGAAGTGAAGGCACCTTTACCTATGGCTACAGGATTTCATTCAATCAAATACATTAAGTACCATTCATTTTGTATTTATTACATCACCAGTGGATCCCACTTAAGGATGATGTATGCTCTGTGTGCCTGGGCATGCATGTTTGGAGTAAATGCCCCACCTCTTTCTCTGTAATTTACTCTTCTGGACTTCGGGGGCATGGTTGAAATGGCAGACTGCTTGTTCCTCTAGTTTGCAAAAACACGTTTGAATATACTGTCATTTTCCCTGATAAGGTGAGCACTATAAATTAAACAGAATCAGCAACCCAGGAACATTAATCTTCCTGATGCAATCCCACCTTTAGCATTTCCTGACATATATTTGATGTTGACTTAATTGTGCAGCCGTAAAGTAGGATTTGAGTATGTAAGTGCAAAAGCAGTAAGAAACTGCAGATGCAAGCCAGAAGCCGTCCGCTGAAAACTGTGCAAGGGGTGGGTGATGCACAGATCCTTGCAGCAAGGAGACTGGGGTGACAGGCTTATTGTGAGTGGTTTTTCACTGCCTATCTAGTCAGCCCTGAAAATCAGTCTCTGCAGAGGAGATCCTATAAGACTTGAGCATGTAGTGTCATCCCTGGGTTGTCCCTTTCCCTCGCACACAAGCAATCTGACATCACCACAAGTAGCGTGTGGTTCGTGGTGCGGCCTCTAAATGCAGCATGTGCCTACAGGGATCTTACTTGGTAAGAAGGGCTGGTTTCCCAGTTAAGTTTTTAGAATGGAGTTGAGAAAAATCTTGGTTCTCTTCTCACTTGTACTGAAGGAGGTCAGAAAAGTCATTTTGGAACTTCTGTTTTTAGAAAGTATCAAAATATGCAAATAAATGCCTAATGGGCTCTGAAATGGTCTTTGAAATCAGTAGGAGATAGGTCTCTGAGATTTCAGAAATCCCACACAAAGTGTTTGCATGCATTTTAAAGCATCTAAACACCTTTAAAAACATGACTCTTAAGTGCTTAACTCTGAGCATAGGTTCCTACATCCTCTAGGCATTTTTGAAATTGCATCCAAAGTTGCTTAGATTTCCCCTAAAGAGTACCCTTTTGTTTTAATTTTCTCATTGACTTAATTTTCTCTTAACTTGAGACATAATATATATTAACCTATGCTCATTTTTTGTAGCAAAATATAGAGAAGCGAAGCTGTTTCTGAGCTGGTTTATTACAAAAAAAAGAAGCATATGGCTGATTGTGTCCCATCTGAAATGCAAATGGTGGAGCTATGTGTGAAGAATTCCTATTACTTGAGCAGTAAATGTTTCCTGATGAAGTCAGTTTGACTAAGGTGGGAAGCTGGAAACGGCTGTGGGAAGAAATTACGATAGTTAATATTTCGGTGGAGCATAACATTCTTATTCTGCTGATAAGGAGGTTCTTAGGAAATAGACTGGATTTTTTTCTTATGTTCTGTATGTTCATCGGTGTGGGGAAATTGTTACACAGGGAGACAGACTCTTTTCTTCCACTAGTTACGAAATCATGTAATTAAATTTATAACCACAGCTTTTCACCATTGGCCTCTTTTTGAGCTGAAACTTTCTGTATTTTGTGAACGTTTGGGGAAAACAGACCTACTCAGTATAAAGAAAGTCTAAAAGAAGATGAGTACTGATTCCAGTGATTTTCATCACCCTGGACATGCCAAAAGGGGTGATGGAGAAATCTGACCCACACTGTCTAATTTCCTATGCTTCTTCTTTCCATCAAAGTTTTTCTCTTGCATGTATCCTTCTACACTGACAGTGGTCGAAGGTGTCCAGATGTCTGCTGCAAACAGGAGGTGAACTGACTTTTAAACACTTTTTTAAATCAAGCAGCGAGGCTAGAGGCTGACATTTCCATTACTTAACTTCCAAATGGAGAGCTGTAGAGTTCACTCTGTGAGGTTCAGCACAACCAGTGGGCTGGAGATAGAGCATCAGTCACATTACTTTGCCTTAAATGTCACAAGGAGCCAGGAAGAGTTTAAGATAGCAGCGTCCGCACAATTATGTGCTCAGAAGAGCTGAAGCAGCTGCCAGGTTAGACCTCTGGCGTTGTCCCCAAGCAGGATGGCATGGGTGTTAATGTAGGTGTTGTGAGGCTGAGCTGTCTGTTGCATGGCGCGGTCGGGAGACAGAAGATTAGCATGCCTTTCCCTTGCTGATGCCCAAGGGTGTCCAAGATCACTAATGATAATGAAATAGGAAAAACCTAAAGAAGAAAGGCTGCAGCCTGATGTTGGTGCATTTAATGAGGCTTCTCCATCTTCTGAGCAATGGTGAGGCTTGCTGGAGTCAGGATGTGTCCACGTTAGCGTGTTAGTTCAGATGCAGACTTGGCTTTTGAAGCAAATTCACCGCTGTGCTTTTGGTTTATGTCTCGGGTCAGCCCAGGAGCTCAGGAGCTAGGTCGTCGTGACTCTCAGATGCCACTAAGCCCCCTGAGGACAGGGCTACCACTGCCCTGCCTGCGCTTGCCCACGCTCTACTCTCAGCTGTGGGATCCTTCATCCCACACAGAGCACATCGCCAGGTCGGGAGCAGGCACTGGCCTTCCTCTCTGACACCTGGGTAAGGTTTTTGGTTGCTGAGTTACTCAAATGCTTCAGAAAGTGCTTGTGCACCAAGTCTCTCCTTAGAACAGCATTCCCCTGGTTTTAATACTGAGTAGGTCCACCTCACCCAGGAGCCAGGGGAGATCCCACCATCCCTAAGCACAGAGCAGAGCACAGTCACATCACTTGTCTCTGTCTCAGTCTTGGCAGGTGGTTTTATCCCAGTAGGCTTCAGTATCACATATTTTATCATAAGCAGAGTGCCTATAGGTGCTGTAATTATTATTGGAATTAAATCATAAATCAAGATAAAACCACATTTATACAATGTTACATATGATGGGTAGCACCTCAAGAGAGGTGAATTTTGTGGCTTCTTTAATTGCAAGAAGGTGCAGCAGCTTTAATTATCTGCATGCCTGCTTGGGTGTTCTTTGGTTTACAGGGAATTACAAGTGGTAATGCTGTGGTGTAGTTTTTTTATAACACTTTTTTATCTTTCCTTTTGCTTGCTTTTCTGTTCTGTATCTCCTCCCTCTCCCTGCATTTTATTTCCATCTAGAAATACAAATGGCCTCTTGACAAAACGTTCCACTTTCATTCTGCTGATTTGCATTGTGCAGTCAGGAAAATACACTTTCATTTTTGAGATGTATTTATGATGTAATGAAAAACTTTCTCATATTAGCCTCTTCTTTTTTCTCTTTCTTTATCTTTTCAGGTGTGTGTGCAACATTGACTGTTCTCAAACCAACTTCAATCCTCTTTGTGCTTCCGATGGGAAATCTTATGATAATGCATGTCAAATCAAAGAGGCATCATGCCAGAAACAGGAGAAAATTGAAGTCATGTCTTTGGGTCGATGTCAAGGTAACTCTCATAACAAAACTCATTTCAAAGAATGTTTTCAATTTTTGTTCAGGGAAAAAAGAAAAAAAAAAAGAACTGAGGCTGGCTTCTTATTTGGCACTTCTTAGATTTCCATTAGACTCTTACAATTTATATTGTAGAGCGCAGGCTGCAGGAAGGAGCAGAGCCCTCCATGGTACAGACACCAAGTGAGGCATGAGGAGTGCTGTGCAAAACCCTTCCCAACCCTGTCCACAGCAGCCGGTGACTGTCCAGCCCGGGGCTGGTGTCAAAATCAGGCACCTGGATTCTGCTCTCTGGTAGGAGTCAGTGCAGGACAGCAGAAGAGCTCTTCACATACATTTTGCCACCCAGGATGGATCATCTGGTGCCCTCTTAGCTAGGCCAGCATGAAGCAATCTCAAGAGGCCAAAAACATGCTCCCAAACACTGTGCTGGTGCATGTTTCTCATGTCAGCTGCACTAAGCCCACAAGATGCCAAAGGTGGCTGGAAGGAAATTTTGGCAACAGCCCCTCAAGACGCTCTGTGTTTCTCCCTGAATGCTGTGCTTCTCTGTGCCCAGCTCATGGGCTACTACATCACCTGCAACCCTTGAGTTGACTTTAAAAACTCTGGTTTGTTCTAGAATAAAAATGAAGAAAATTTGCCTTTAAATAACTCCTGTAAATAAAGTGTCTACTGAGGCTCAGACTCTTAATAGCTTTTTTCCCCTTAGCTTCTGACGTATAAATCCTCAGTTCATCCACTTACAAGGCCAGACTATAGAGGTGTTTGAAACACATTCTAGTTTATTCCTATCTCTTTAAAGTTAACCAGCCTACATGGTAGTTCATTTCAGGGTACATATTAAAACTCCCCAATTACCTCAAATAGAGCAGAAATGACAACTGCTGCTTCATACTGATATAGTTATCCCAGCTGCAATCTGTTACCACATATTGTTAGAAAAAAATATGTTTTCTTAATGGAAGATGTTTCATGTTTCACCTGGCAGACCCAGGGGAGCCTAGCAGCCAGCAGCGATGCTGTGCATGCAAGCGAACCTACGTTTGCCTGGGCGCTGGCAGCTGGGACAGAGTCTGTATCAAGTACAGGCTCCCCAAGCAGTTCAACGTATTTCTTTTCACACAGATAATACTACAACAACTACAAAATCGGAAGATGGGCATTACGCAAGAACAGATTATGCAGGTATGACTCCTATTCTGTGAGAATCACAATCCGCAGGTACTCTGTAAGTCTCTTTTTCCACTCCGTTTGCTAAGGTGAGGTGTCCTCATCTTCTAGTATGGTTTTCTTGTTTTAAAGAAAACACTGTCTTCACATTACTCTTTCTTTTGATAGAGACTCTCTTTCTTGTTAATAAATGGGCTTCTTCCATTTTTGTCAATGTACAGATATTCTGGCCATAAAACACCTGTTCTGACAGTGCAAATAAGTATGGTAAACTGTTTGCCAGAATTAGCAGATGTTATTGAAAATTATTGAATCAGTGCACTAAAGTATGCATATTTTTCTCACAGTATACAGGTTTAAGAAAGTTAAAATCCAGAGCATAGCACAGCTGTGATACCATGAAACGTTTCTATAATAGATAATACTACCTGTCGGTGTTTAACTATGAAGATAATAAGATTCTTATATTTTTTTAAAGTGATAAATGGTTTTAATTTGTTTAGAAGCTACCATAAAATATAATGGCTGAACAGCCTTATACGGTTTTTGAAATTAAAAACATGTAAATACTAGTGAGTTTTGGGAGACATTTTTTACACCCTTTGCTTGGGAGGATTGATTTAGAAATTGAATGTGTGTGTGCGTGTGCATGTGCATGCAGATATTCACAGCTCGCGCTGAGAATTCAAGCCTTTGGGAAGGTACTGTGAAAACGGGGCACGTGATGCATTCATTGCTTAAGTTTGTGATATTTTTGTGTTTTGAAAGTATTTGGAGAGTGTAGGTGCAGAGTGCTGGGTTTACCTGAGCAGCTTGCTGGATGGCTTAGGTGAAAAGTTTCACAGGTCTTAACGTTTCTTACCAGGAGGATCTACTACTCTGTCAGTAGTTATTTCGGCCGATCATCTCTTGTGAGGGCCCTTTGCACATGACGTCCCTGCATTAATAGGGTACCCAGCCGTTAGAAATTATTGTTCTGTTCCTACCTAAAAATGGGGCATGATGATTAAAATATATAGCTATGAATAAATGATGTCTTGGTGAGGCAGAGGGGTGCTAGGTGTTGGGGCTGGCTGCAGCACAAAGCAGCAGAGGGTAGAAATTTCTGTGGAAAGTAAATGGTGGGATTAATTTCCAAAAGATCAAAGATGAACCATGGTCCAGGTATTTCCTACTGCCAAGGAGCCCTTCTGTGACAGTCATACAAAGAGAGAAAGGTCTTCAGTTTCTTTCCCCCGAACCCTTGATTACTCTCAGCTTTTTTCTGGGAGGCAGCAGTCAGTTTTCTTAAAAGGCTGGAAGGGCTCAGGTTGTACTCTGTGGTGGGCTGGAGATATGGCCAAGTAGGCTAAAATTATTTAAGTTAGAAATACGGGCAAGTAATATTGTTATGTTAAATCCTTTATCTTCCTTGCTGGAGAACTGAGGAGAGCACTGGCATCCCCAAGTCAAGATGAAGGCCTGCAGCCCCTTTTGAAATGTTGTGCAACCTGTCCTACTCTGCTCTTTTTTGATTGTTTAGCTTTAGGATGGCAGTGACCCACATCACCTAGAGAGGAGACAGCACATTTAAGCATGAAGCAACGGAACTGTAACAAGAAGGGAGGAAAGGCAGGTTGAGGATTAGGGAGGAGGAGGAGATCACAGCGATGACAAGAGAAAGGCAAGTCATGGGTCACGGAGGAAGAGGCGCGCAGAAGGCACCCTCAGCTCAAGTGGGCAGGAGGAGGAGAACAGCTCTTGCTTAGAAGAGATACGATATTTCAGTTCACACTTGAGAGAAGAGATGGTGGGTAGAAGAAAACTGATTGCAGCAAAACCGTCAGGAGTTGGGAGTCGAGCAGGGAACACTGGAGGAAACTGGGTTACTGGGCAGGGAGGAGGGCAGAGAGCTACAGTACAGAGAAGTGGGTCTGTAGCGGAGATGGTCTCTGAGTGCCGAGAGGTCAGAAGGAGTGTGGGAACAGATGGTCCGGCAAGAGTGACAGGGGCCTGTGGAGAGGAGACAGGGCACCTCGCACCCCTAAAGCTGTGGGAGGAATGGAGACATCCTGAATCAGCAGTGAGGCCCAGTCGGTACCTCTTTGGCACAGAAAGGCACCATCATCGCGCCTTAGTGAGCAGCTCCTCAAGTTTTCTGGTATGGCTCAGGCCCCAGTGGGCTTCTTGAGGTCAGCGACCGTGTCCCCTGGGTGCGTCTCATAAGGTACCATCCATTGATTTAACCTGAACCACAGTCACTTCCACCAGCTGATGTGTTCTTTTTGGGCACCTAACTATTATTCTTGCGTAAATTTTTCATTTTACATACAGCGACAGCATGTAGGGTAGAAGTTGCAAGTTCATGCAGGGCAGTCCACATGCCTCTAGTGTCCCCAAAGGTTTGTGCCAAGCTGGGAGACCCTAGGGGAAGGGACTGCTGTATCAAAAAGCTGTAACAACTCCAGCCTTTCAGAAATAGTTGGTGAAAAGGAAGACAGCAGTATAAAACTGAGGCTCAGTGAACATTAAGGCTTCAGCATCTGCCAGGCAGGAAGCTCCATGCCGTCCTCATGTTCTTTCAAGTGCAGAAACACTTCACAATGGCTACTGTAGGAATGTGGTATGTGCTACTTTTTTCCACCTCTCTATCTCCTCAGAAGGGAAATGCTGCCCTGACCATGGGGAGCTTTCTGTGAAAAAGCAGCGGTTCCTCAGCCATCATATCTCTGAAGCAATTTCCCCAAGCCTGCGCCTTTCAAGAGAATACCTTTGTTCTCTGCCATTTAATAGCACTAAAAATCGCCGAGACCATGAGCACTACACACTTTTAAAAACATTGACTCTTAGGGACTGACTTTCCCAGGGGAGAAAATAGCAGTGGGCATAATTGATGTTGTCAATTATGCTAATGCAGCCATGCCAAATGCTCTTTGCAGAGATTGTGGTAGCTGAGTGGTGCGGGTTTTTGCATAAACACCGTGCACGCTCAATGTGGGGTCCCAGGAAGGCAGCAGCTTTGTGAACAACCACAAGGCCCAACATCCAGATGATTTTTCTCATATTGAACTATTCAAACCGTCTGTTCAATCAGTGTCTTTGCTCCCCCCTGTTCTTTCTAGCCTGTTGGTACTTGCAGATAACAAACAAATTTTTCTTTTTCCAAAACCAAGAGTACTCTTTCCTTTGAAGCGTAAATCTCTGCATTAAGTTTGCATCACCTTGGCTTTTTAAAGGCTCCTACTTTGCACAGGCAAGATTTACTCTAGTATTGGAAATGCCTGACTATTGCCAGAGAAACCCAAAAAGCAGTGTTCCCTTTTTCAGCAAAGCAAACATGGGGAGAGTGATCCATAAGTGGTCTTTCTCTGGTGGTGTCCGCCTTTCCAGGTTCCCCAGTCCACTCTCGCCATGGCTGCGTGTGCAACACGTGTCACCACAGCGCCTGTACACACGTGTGGGTTTGTGTCTCTCTTTGTTCAACTCTGGCCTCTCGTTCTTCTGAAACCCCAAAGTATTTATCAGAATTTGGGGGATTTTCATCTTTTCAACAAATGGCAGATTGTTGACATAGATCAAGTTTGTGAAATAAGATTTGCTTTTAGTCAATAAATGAATGGGTGGGATTTTTCCCTCAAATCCAATAGAAATACACTTTATCTTGCAATTTCCGTGAAAGAGCATTTTAAAACATTTTAAGTGTAATATATGTTTTGGAATGTAGTGTCTCAGCTGAAAGTCCTGTGATTTATGTTTTCTTCAATTTCCCCATGATATGTGTAAAGAAGTTGGCTGTTTTGGTGGCATTTTTGCATTCAGAGTCTAGGCAATCAAAGAGTTTTCATCTTGTTTATTCATTTGCCTATTTATTTTTATTCTTCAGTATTTATATTCCCTTCTTAAGATCTGGATATTAGCAATTATCCCCCTAACTGATTTTATCCTTTCTCATTATCAAATTAGAGATTTTTTTCCAAACCATTTTGAGCGCTATAAAGAGTAAGTCGGTACGGATGAGCCATATTTCAATGTTATATATTCATGAAAATTTTCAGCAAAGACACTGACAAATTTGATAGACCTATTCAATACCATCTTCCAGGCCAGACAAACCTCCCTGCATGACCATTGATTAGATCAGCAGCCGAACGCCAGCAGCACAGCAAAGCTGATGGAAAGGAGAAGAAGGCATTTTCAGACCCGGTAGTCTCCTTTGGTGAAAAATACGCATCCACAAATGGTCAGTTGGAGCTGTATTTTGGGGTTCATTGATAGCAGTAAACTCTTCCTTGGCAGCAGCCTCAGGTGGTGCTTTCTGCGGTCTTGGCTAGTCCCAGGACTGTCTTGCAGGCAGTGCTATGGCCCCTCTTGCCGATGCTGTTGTTGTGCCCAGGAAAAGCTAATGAGCACAGAATGCTGGGTCTGCTCATGGCTGCTCCATTCCCTGCTCTCCCCGCTGGCTTCCCATGGGATTTCAAATCTATGTGACAGTTCTTGGATCTTTTTCAGACTGCTTTCTGGCACTGGGGCTTTCCTGGCACTACAAGAGGTGCTTGGGCGAATAATCCGGCAGATGGTTGTGTTGCCCAAGCAAACTGAATGCTCCACCAAAAAGGGCAAAATCCATCTGTGTCAACACATCATCATCTTCCCTTGGCTGGGCCAGGGCTGCGGGATGAAGGCCACAGGAGCCATTACAGATTCCCCACTCCAAGGATTAAGAAGAGTCTTGGACTCTGAAAGGAGTGTCTTCAGAAGTCCAAGAGTCTTGGACTCCAAAATAAATACAATGTAATGTTTATGTTTGAGAAAAATATCCTAGAACTTTACCAAAACCTGCCACCCTGCATGGTTAACTTCTAATCCCTTTGAACAGGAGAACAAGCCCTGCATATCACAGAAAATGTGGAGAACTGGCGGCGGTGCGCTGACCCGACACGTGAGAAGCACTGGGGTGTGATGTATCCCTTTCTTCACAGGCTTGACACAGAGCCCACTGAATGCAGTGCCAGTCATCTTCATTGTCTATAATAGGC